CTCTGGGTGGCAACTCCCTACTGCAGTTCCTGAAAATGGTTAGTTCTCATACCAAACAAGACAGAAGCTCCAGGTGGTGCAAACCAAGTGATTTTCTTCCTGGAAACTAAATAAAAAACATCTTCAGTGGAAATTCATTAGGAAGTACAAGTGCAGGTCACTCTGGTGACCTCTTGGCACAGAATTTAGTACAGCACTAGGCTTCCACAGTTACAATTAGAGATCATTATCAAGATGAGCCACTAGATGTAAAATAATAGATTCAGGAACCCAGCTAAAGCACACACACAGAGACTCAATCTTATTTCTTAACTATCACTAGCCAGAGCAATTGTGGCTGCCTGCCAGGGGCGGGGAACCTGTGGCCTACTGATTTCAAGATTGTTGGTTTTTAAGCACAAAAGGAAGCAAGAAAAGTTTCCTCTTTCTCTACTGCACCCTTATTAATAAAATGATTTGTTCTGTAAAATTTGGATTCAGTCAAAAGGCCACATATAAAGACCTAAAAGACCACATTTCACCTTAAGGCCACAAGTCCCCCACCCTGCGGGCAGTTGCAATGTTTAACCCAGCACCTAGTACTTCCAACAAGCTTCTGTCCAAGCTCCAGCAGACTCACACAGTCCATGAGTCTTTCATCTGTACCTCTCTCATGGCACTTCCATATATTGTAGATATATACTAACACATTTTTACCAACGTCAGTAAACACTAAGTGCCCACAATCTTGACATCCCCTTCAAACGTCCTTAAACTTTATTTTTATAAAGGTAGTTCATTCAACAGACAATTCTTGAGCACCTAGCACCTGCCCTAACAAGAACAATAGATGTTTGTTGAGTCTTCACCTTAGGGCCAGCCTTACACTGTCTCACTCGATACTCACCTATAAGGAGAGTGGCCGTGTAATTTATCTTCTGAATCAGAATACCTCTGAAGGTAAAAGGGGACACTATTCATACTACTGGGACATAGGCATAACATGGGGATGTCCTGGGTAAACCAGGAAGTATGGTCACTATACCTGGGAAGCAGGCACTGTTGCTACAGCCATTTCTACAGATGAGGATACTGAGGACACGGATCTCCTAACATGCAAAAATGTCCTCCTAAAAATGCCAAATATCTCGCAGTACATACATCCCCTGCAAGGTGGCAGCTGATGTGCTGGGTGATGGCCCAAGGAACTAAGGAACGCTGACAAAGGCTATACAGGAAAAGCGTGCACGCCGGGTAGAGAGAGGCCAAAGCACACTTCTTTAAGTCAGTGTCCCTGGCCTGTCCTGCCCCTCGTGCTTACCTGCCCGTGAAAGGTTCCTACAGGTTTACAAGGAAAACCTGGCTCCACCCTTGACACTAGCTTTCTGTAGGAACCACAGGGAGCCCTCCCGTCCTGATGTGAGGTCACAACATAAGCAATTCCTTCAGAGCAGCAAGCCCTACAGGGCTAAAAGATGCAAACATACTACAAACAAAATCCAAGGGAGATTGGGATGGTCGCAGTGGAAGAAGGGACACTGCACAGCCATTCACTGATGACAAACCTCCTCTCTGCATAGCCTGGAAATGGCTATGAACGTCTGCAGCACTCACCCCACTTTATGGAGCACACTATGCTCATCAGTGGTGGCCTCATTAGTAAGAGGTCTAAAAATGAGCAAGCCAGGAAACCAAATGGTGCCTGATACCACCCCAGGGGAGCACCTTCTATTACACGGCCCAGCTAGGACTTGCACTAGGAGTTATCTGGGTCTGAATCCCACCATCCCCACTAAGAGTAAGGCACCATCACAGTGAGCCAGACGCCCTGCCAGGTACCAGAATCAGCCACATGTACATACTACACAACCGTTCACATAGCACTATCACAGAAATTCCCCTGGTTCTCACAAATGCATTGTGATATATCATATGATCTCTATTTAAAGGTAATTGAGGTTCAGAGATGTTCCGGAACTTGCTTAAGATCACAGGGCTCGTGGGTGGCCCAAACACAGGTCTTTGTTTTCCCTACAGCAAAAGCCACTGGTACTGCCAAAGCGATATAGCATGGGGAAGCCCAGATCCTCAGGCTCCACAGTCCCAAATCTGATTTTCAATCTTGCCTTCCAAAGCCTCAGACACAGGCAGCTAATGCTACTCATTAGTACTAATGAAATAATAATAACAGTTTCTCACCTGTGTAAAGGTCTTGCTAAGGACATTCACACCCATTATGATCACTTGCAAAAGAAGCAGGACAGGAGTTTTGGAGATAAGAGTCAAATTCCCACTCTGCCCCTTAGGCCCTGTGCCCCAGTGGGAAGGTTTCTTCTTCACCCCCCACTGTTGCCCACTATCTGCCAGACAAGATTGATCTTGCCAACCCATCTCTTGGATTGCAATTGGGAACTAAGTAATAAAAAAGACTGTCAAATGGATTTGCCACATTAAGAGTGCTATGAAGGCCATGAAATACTAATGGGTTCTGTGAGATGGGTTGTGATGGGCAGGTTTAAGAGGAAAAGAATTAAGAAAGGAGGAGCTACCTTGTAATGGATCTAAGACTGTCAGCCTAAAACCTTTAGGCAAGCAAAGATAAGTAAATATAAAAGGAGAACCATGGGGAGCAGGGGCAGGGAGCTGTCACAATCAGGGAACCTTAGAGTTAGCATGGAGTCACAGCTTAGTTCTTGCAGACAAGCATCAGTGGCAGGCACTCATGGCAGTGGCATAAATAAATCCCCCAACCACACACACACTCAAACTGAACCACCTTAATCACAGTTTTCAAAGTGGGAAGCACAAGGTTCAAGTCTCAGATACAGTAATCTCAAGTTATATTCCTCCTACAAATTCTCCAAAGCAAAGCCTCTGGGGGTCGGGGGTGGGGCAGGGAAGGAACATGTCAGGTGCAGCAGAAACAGAGAATGAAAAACACCTGAGAACAAGACTGGCCTGGGAGTAAGGGATGTGACCCGAATCCAGCTCAGCTAACAAGGGTGTGATTGAGCAAGTCTGTCCTTTCCTCTGGGTCTCAGTTTCCTTGTCTGTCCAATGAGGGACCAGAGCACTATGACCAACAAGGCCCCAGCCCATGTGTATAAGGCAGGAACTGGCTGGCAGTTTGCTGCTTCTACTGACCACAAGCTTTGGTGTCCATATAACAATTTTTTTCCAGCCAAGACTGATAAGCTGACAAATAATTAGAAGGACAAGAGTAGGAACTAAACTATCTGATATTATGGTAGCAGTATATAGTTTCCAGAATCCATTTTTCCTTCTCTACTCTGCTAACCTGATACAGGCCCATATCTCCTGCCCTGGAACATTTTGGCAGCCTCCTAAACTGGGTCTCTGCCTCTGGTCTTGACCTGCTATATCATTCTGCCACCAGAGTACTCTGAAACACAGACCCAATACGAACAGACTCCTTCTCTCAAAAAGTAATGAAAGTCTTCCTGTCCTTCCTCACCTCCGCCACTGTTCTCAGCTCAGCCTGCCAGCCCTTTACCATGGAACCTTCCCTAGCCTGCCCCAGGTCACACAGTGAGCTCCAAACACACAATTATGTTTCCCTAAACACTCCCTGGCCTCAGGCCCATGCACTTATACCAAGTTCCCTCTGCCTGGAAAGCTCTTCCACCCCAGTCCACCATGTGAACTCCTACTCACTGCTCAAAACCCAATCCAAATGTCTTCTTTTCCATAAGCATTCACCAGTTCTTCCAGGTGGTTGTTCACTTCTTTCTTAGTGTTCCCATCAGCCCTTTGCTCATCATTTTATTAGGATGTTCTATTTCTATATTTATTATGTTGTAGTTTAGCCTCTTGCCTATGCTAGAATTGAAAATCCTTGAAGACAGATCCTATTATATCTTAATTTTCTTTGTAAACCAGTATCCAGCATTTCTACCTGGCATATAGCAACCACTTTGTACACAGGTACAGAACTTAATGCAAGAGATTTGGTTGTATGTGATCACACACATACGTATAATAGAAAGGTCAAGGCATCTGGAAATTGCTTCATGCCACAAGGCAGATTTTGATCTTGATCTTAAAGGATCATAAGTTTACAACAGCCATAAACAGACTATGAACTCCAGGTAGAGAAAACAGCATAAGCAAAGGCATAGATTAAGAAAACAGAGGAAATGTTCAAGAATAATACAACCACCTGGCTGTAATTCTCCTGAAAAGTGAAAGAGCAGTGGCAATTGCAATTACTCTTAGCATAGCTAATCCAGCAACCCTCAACACTACACTCCCAGTCCCCCAATCTTTCCCTGCAGGTGGGACTGCCCAATGCTACCTTTGGTAGCTACAGCACAGTGATTCTGAATCTAGTCCTGGGACTCCATAGGCCAGAGGTTCAGGGCAGTAAAAATAACCCCCTCCCCCATGACTGCTATCTTGCGGTGGCAGTCACTCCCTCTCTTCATCTAGCAAATATTTCTGAAGCACCTAAAACATGCCAAGCGCTCTTCTGGGCATTGGGACTACGGCCATTAACAATCCTCAAGAAGCTTATTTTAAAGTGGAGGGAAGCAACAAGCAAATATGTAAGATGAAGTGGTGATTGATTCCTGCTTACATTGTGTCAATAAGCATTGTTCATTCACTTAACAAACAGCTACTGAACATCTTCAGGGCACCAGAGATAAAAGGCATTCAAAGATCAGAAAGACAAGGTCTTACTCACTTGCTGGGTGGCATTCCTGGGGTCTATCTCCCCTCATCAGAGAATAAGCAGCTCATTCAAGCCTTAATCTCTGAGTCACCAAAATGCAAATGACCCACCTGAAGCAAGTAGATGATGGGAATGCCTGCAGTTGATCCCACTGAGTCCTGAGCCAGAAAGCTCTCTTGGCAGAAGGGATCAGTATGACCCAGAGAAGGGAAGGATCCAACAGAAGCTGTCTGGTTCAAGCCCAGAGAATATCTAGCACTGCAGGAACCACAAGATCAAGGGCAATGACTGAGAATCCAGACTCTTCCACCACTCCCCACTTTGTTACCTTATTGCTCCAGCTGCCTCTCTATAGGAATGCACCAGCTCCTGGCCACCACAGGGGACTGGGAATGGGACACTGTTGAGAGGGCCAGGTGATTCGCTGCTAGGAGGCTCCACCCTCTCTAGTTAGGACTGTGTGGAGAAGATGCCCAAGATAGAGGAGATGGTAGTATCTTCAGAGACAGGAAGGGGCTGGAACAGCACCAGGGTGGAACTGAGAAGCCTGCTTACCCAACTAAATCCTCAACTGAATGTGGGCTGAATTATATTCCAGAGAAGAACACCGAAAAACAATGTTGATTTGAACTGTTCATGTTTGTGGACACAGAAAGGAGTGGTGAAGAGGCCATAAATCCGGCAGAAATTCAAAGGTCACTTAGTAGTTATGTAATCTTATTTCACCAAACTCATTTTCTCATCTGCAAAATGAAACTGATGATCATAAAACCTTTAATGAATCGATACAATAATTAAGAAAACACATGGTAAGCACTCAAAAATGTTTCAAAATTATATTATTTCTAAGAAAAAATGATAAGATATTTTCTTGCCTCGATTGTGTAGTTTACCTGCTCCCAAGCATTAATCTCATTAACCCTCCAGCCGCCCCATCCACCTACCAATCTCATGTCTGAGACCCACATTTGGAATGCACCAGCCATTTCCTCCAAGTCTCTGGGAAGCCCATAGCAGATTCCCACAACACACTTAATTCCTTCCGCCCTTCCCCTAACCCTCACGTTCTCTGGCCTTATATGCACCTTCAAGCCAGCAGATTTTCGCTTCCTACATGCAACAGCACCAGTTTATCTCCCCCTTCCTCACCTCTAGCAAGTTTCTTCTAGAAAGACACAGCCTCCCAAAGCCATATTCCATGAAAAGCCCCACCCACCAACCACCAACGCACATACACAGGTCTGAGCTTCTTTGGAATTACTGCCCTGGGTCAAAGTCCCAGGTTCACTCAGATTAAAAGTTACTAAAAGTGCCACTATGCCTTCTGCATTACCACCCAAATATCTAATCCCTCAGAGATCATTCCAGAGCCTTGTTCTCCTATGAATCTCTAGAGAACCAATTAATGGCCCCTATGTCACCCATTAATTGAAACTTTACTTAAGAAAAAAATAAATGTCCTCCCCTTTCTCCATTTTCCACAGCCCCTTCACCCTTGCCATTCAAAACACAGCCTCGAGAATAAACCATCTGCTTCCCTACATCTGCATATGCCACTGCCTTTGCCTAATAGGGCCTCTCTCACCTGTCCTTCTTCCACCTGGGCAACTCCTACTCAGTCCTACAGGTTCAATTGAGACATCACCCTTCTGTGATGGTTTCCCTGAGGTTGGTCCTTCTCAGTGCAGAGCAACCCTGCACATACCCCTGTAAAACTCTTAATACACTGACATCCCCCCAACCTCAACTCCACCACACCCCGTGTGCTCCTCAAAGACAGGAACCATGTCCACCCCATCTGTGTACTCCCAGGGCCTAGCCAGTTTCTTCACAATAAGCAGGCTCCAACCTCTGGTTTCACCATATGACCTGCCATTTTCTACCTCCCTGTCGTATTTCTATTTAATGCAGCAAATCTCTGGGCTAAGGGGGCTTCCTAGTTCCCACTAGTGACACTCTGTCCTTGGCTAAAACCCCATCATCATTCAAGCATCTTAAGCCATAATTTTGAAATCAAATCCAATATGACTCTTGCCCCATTCCCAATTAGCCCCTGCTAGATCCACAGCAGGGCAAAGTTACATGTCATCACCAAGAATCAAAAGTTCTGGGTTGAAATTTTGAGCACTTCTCTAATTAGCCATGTGACCATGGGCAAGGGTTAAAATGGAGATGGCAGCATCACCAGGCCTAATTCTCAGGGGATCTTTGAGATTCAAATGGAATATCTAATGGGAAAGTGTTTTGTAAAGTGCAAAGCAATGTACACTGACAAAGGACAAGATCGACAAATTTATCGAATTTAAACCACTGACTGTAAGATGTGCCATTATCAACTTAGAATGAAAAATCTGCTCAACTATGATATAGCCATGATAACAAGACAAGCAGATTTCAGTGATATTAAAATTTTTTAAAGTATTTTCAAATTGATTAAAATTGATTTATTGAGACAAATGATTTGTCTCAATAAAATATAGGAAACCTATAAAATTTTGATATTTGCCAATGACACATGACAGGCACTCAGTAACATATGTCAAGTAAATGAACAAATGCTCACTGATAATAAACTTCTTAGGTCAAATTACCACCTTTCTCATTGGAATCAGGTGCCAGGAGCCTTCCCAATGCCAGTACCTGCCCTCTAAACCATGTTCCAGCCTGTTCAAAAACCTTCAAATGATAACTTTAAGTCATATCCAAACTCCCTAGCCTGGCATTTTTAAGGTCCTTCATAATCAAGTCTCCTCTTCTCCCACCCACCCACCCCTTTTGGGAACTATTTACCTCCCACAGCGGGATCACCTCTCCACCAGAATGTGTCACTCAAAGAAGGGTCCTGCTCAGTCCTAGCTATAGCAACTGGCTCAGCAGCTCAGCTTCCCCTCCCTCTGCCTCCACCCAAAACCAGCTCTGGGCCCATGCCTCTTACAGGGATCCTGACTCTGGGGGACTGCCCCACCCTAAGGCCCCAGGCTTGTACCCCTACCATTCAGACAGCTAATCCCATCTAGAATGCACATTCTAGACTGCAAAGGCTTGAGTGTTGGGATTGGGGGCTGCCTTACAAAAATTAAATACAAAATGCACACTTTAACTGTCCTCTGGTGCTGGGAGGAACTCTGCAAGGAGGAAAGCTGGTGATGAGGTAGAGGGAACCCTACTGGGTGTTCCAGTCCCTCACTCTCCACCATTATTCACTGTAGGCTCCAAGACTAGCTCCCACCTTCTGGGGCCTTTATCTTTTCTTCTATCTGTAAGAGTGAGAGAGGATGAAAAGGAGAAAGGAGTAGCTACTTTCTAAAGGTGCTCCTTCCTATCCACACTTTCCCTCCCTTCACTTAAAGGTTTTCTTAAAATGCACCTGTGCAGGGAGAGGGATGCCATTAAGTCACTAACACCTTAGTGAGAATGAGTTTTATTGGGGATGCAAGAAATGTAGAAAAGGAAGGGGGGGGAGGGAGACAAAGGAGACTGGAAACAAAGTTAAGTGCGTCCGGTATTAGGAAAGTAACTCAGAGAGGACCCTGAGTTTTTGCTGATTGGTGGGTGTTGGGGAGGGAAAGCAGCGGATCCCTCCTCAGGGAAGGGAAGCCAGAGAGATTATTCAGTCCTCCTAGGACCCCAAGGTTCCTAAGACACTGCCCAGGCCAAGTACTCAGCCACACTCCTCTGATTAGCTCATCTCATGTCACAATACCCCCACCCCCGAGCCCCATGCCTCCAACATGAGAACATTTACAGTTTCATCGCCACTCCCCACACTGTTCAGTGTTCTCTGGTCTGCAGTTCCCTCGCAGAGATGACCTTCCTCCACGCCGCTGCCTAGCTTCAGACAACTCTGCAGCCTTCAAAAGCCCTGACTGAGTGCAGCCCTCTCCAAAGGGACATCTCTGGTCCCTCCCTAGGGACCAGAAAATCAAACTCCCTCCCCTGCACCCCCTCATAACTTTATCCGTGCCTTTTCCCCAGCACTTAGCACTTGCTACCTGAGTCAAGTCTGACAAGGTTCAACTGAGCACTCCTTGAGGGCAAAGTCTAGGCTCAACACACCCAGCACAGTGCCTGCCACACAGTGGGTCCTAGAGAAATTCTTAGGGAAAGGAAACTAGAAGTCCCGAGCCATCTATTTAATTACAGCTTGGCCTCGAGTAAATTTGACTTCCGGGAAGACCCCGCCTCTCTGGGGACCTCAGTTGCCCCAACTGTAAAATGGAAGGACTTGAATGACTGGGTCCCTAGGCCCTCTCCACTGTGACAACTGTGATTCCGCGAAAGCTCTAAGCGGATGGGCGTGGCCCCGCCCCCTGGGCGCCCAGAAAAGTCTGGGCAGGGGGCGCGCAGGGAAAGGCTCCAGTCCCACCCAGCCTCTGGTCAACGCTTCCCGAAAAACTCTGGGTCCCCCTCCCCCATGGCGTGCACCCCGTGATTGGGCCGCGGCCGGCACTTCCGCACCGCGGGCCTGGCGGCCCGGGCCGGGCGCGCGCCCTGCGCTCTACACCCTGTGCTCCTGCCACCCCGGAGGTGCTCGCGCCCGGGGAGGGCTGGGGGTTCCCGAGGCGCCCGCGGGCGGAGGGTGGGGGGAAGGAAGGATTTGCAACAATACCTCGGGGAGGAGGCAGCCGGGGCAGCGGCGGCGGCGGCGGCTGGAGGCGGAGGCAGAGGCAGAGGAGGAGGTGCCGGGGCACTCCCCCTCCCATTGTCCCCAGCCCCGGACAGGCCCTGCCCAGCGCCCCGCACTGGCCCCATCGAGCGCGCTGCCCGCGCCCAGCGCCCCGCGCCGGGGGCCGTGCAGCCAACCCTTACCTTGCAGCGCCTGGCTCTCCCCTGCTCGCTAAAGCTACTTATCCCGGGAAAGCTCGCGCGGGACCCGGGAGCGAACCCACAGACAAAAAGTGAAACTTCGGCAGGGCTGGAGCGGCTGCTGGTTGGTGCCTTTCCCCCTCCTTCCTCCCCACCGTCCCCACCCCCTCCCCTCGGTCTCCCGTGCGGTGCCCTGAGCGCTGGAGGCTGACGTCAGGGGCCTGAATTCCTGACTTTGCCTGCACGCATTTGTCCATGTAAGGTATGGGAAGGCGTGTGCCCGCGGGGCCGCCGCGCTGTGCTCGCCTGGCGGGGGAGGGGGCACCCGCTGCCGGCGTGGCTGTGCCAAAAGGTGGGCGCATAGAGGGCATTGCATTTCCTGGGAGGAAGCGGGGGAGACGCGGGAATGCGGGGAGCTTGCGAAGGAGGAAGGGAGAGAGGGAGGTGGGGAGGCTTTGCCTCTGCTGGAGGAAGAGGAAGGAGACGTAGGAGGAAGTGGCCGAGTCGAGGGGCTGCTGGAGACATAAGGGAACCTCTGCTGTTACGGCGTCAAGTTAGGGCGCCGAGCCTGAGGGGAGGAGGTCCTGCCAGGGAATCCCCTTCCGAGATCTTCCTCGTGAGTCCCGCCCTGGATTCCCAGCAAGACTCCAAACTTGCAAGATGTCAGAGCTGGCAAAAACTAACTTCCAACCCGTCCACTTCGTGAGTGCAGCTCTCAGGAGGGAAATGACTTATACAGGGTAACGCACTCAGGAGATCCAGGAGTGGGACCTGGGACCGGGCGCTCTGCGTCCCAGCCTGGTTCCCGCCTCCAGGCCGGGCCCTCACTGCCGACTTCCGCCTGAGCCTTGAACCTGGTTAGGCGTCTGCGGGCAGCGCTGACCACCCAGTGATTACTGCTCTTGGCCAGGGAGCCAGTTCCTGGAAGGTTTTGGTTGACTGTGAGCCCTGATTGCTGTGACAATCAGTTGCTTCAGGGCAGCTTCCTCTGTCCTGTCCTCCAATAAACGAAGAACCCCTGGAGTTTAACGTTTGCTTCTCACCTCTGCCTGGAAACCCAGAAAGCTTGCTCTGTGCTTATAGCTTCAAAAAAACAAAGTCTGCGAACTGGGTGAACTGGTTTGAATAAAGACAAGCCTGTTCTTGGAAGTTTTGAGTCGGATTTTTTTCCTCTGACATTTGTAAATGTGAACAAGGATGAGAAGCACCATTACTGTGCCAAGGGCTTATAACGCAGAGCACCCATTGCCTGGAAGGCACTGCAAGACCTGAGCCATCATCTCATTGTATTTCTATCCTATTGATATCTAAAATAATAATCTCTCACCCCGGCACATCGTAAAAGCACTTTCTTAACCGCTTATTACATCTTCAAGTGAGTGAGATAGGACAAACTATAGTCCTCTTTTTTCATTTGAGGCAAAAAACCAGGAAAAGTAACTTGCCCAACACAAAATAACTGCCCCAGCACCCGACTCACCTCCAGATCACCTAACTAACCCCTTTATCTTTCCACCCAAATACCTGGCCCTGACCTCTAGCAGGACCCAATCCCATTGGTGAATGTTGAGAGCAGAGCATGAGTTACCTATTCATGCAAACTCCAAAACGTGGTTCTACCCAAGCTGGATTTGGGTGAGGGTTTTTTTTTTTTTTTTTTTTGAGACAGGGTCTAAGTCTGTCTCCCCAGGTAGAATGCAGTGGCATCATCATTGTCTCACTGCAACCTCAAACTCCTAGGCTCAAGTAATCCTCCTGCCTCAGCCTCCAAGTAGCTGGGACTCCAGGTGTGTACCACCACGCCCAGCTTAATTTTCTGTATTTTTTTAGAGACGAAGTCTTGTTCTTGCTCAGGATGGTCTCAAACTCCTGACCTCAAGCAATCCTCCCACCTCAGCCTCCCAGAGCCCTAGGTGGGATTCTTTCAATAAAGAATTCAGGAAAGATGAAAAAACACATGATATTGGACTTATTTGTTGAGCACCTTCTTTGTGCAGAGTTTTTTAATTCAGACATTTCTGGGTGCAAATTACTTAACCTCTCTGTTCCTCTGAACTTTCTCATTTATACCTACAAAAATATGAATGTAGTAGCAGAAAGATAAGGTCACAATTATCTACCCATTCCACACAATAATGAAATATTTTTCTTTTGACAACTAACATAGTTTGAAATGGGAAATATGAGCCCTTAAAGATATTTTTTCTGGGGCTTTAAAAAGATCAGACCCTATTATAACACAATTCACTCAATCTTAAACATTATAACATACTCATGTTCTGAGTACTATTGCTGAGTATGAAAAAATCCTAGTATCACAGGAAATAAGAATGAATCTCACAATCCTCATCAGATATAACAGGACTTGACCAGCATTTTTTTCCCACTAACCCACTTATAAAGAATAACAGCGTTCTCATAAGGATTAATAAGATTTAATAGGGTATAATTAGAGTAATTCATTTCCTATATCATACACATAAAAGTGCCGCGTTAGATTGAGAAAATGCTACTAATTATGTTGAAACTGTTGTATGAGTGTGTTGAGGAAGATCACTGTTTCTCCTCCTGAAATATTTATGGATTGCTCAGGTGAGCATGGTGTTAGCATGAGCATTATATAAACCATCACAAAAGATACTTTTGACTTGTGAAACACTCACCAGGAGTATAAGTAACAAAATCATAAATTGATGCTTTTTGAACACACCAGTGTTGTCATAACTGCTAACCCAGACCAAAAGCCACATTCTCATTTGCTGTTCTGCTTCCTTCTGTACCCTCACTTTTCTCAATATCTTATTAAAACTCGCTATGTGCAGGGCCTTGGGCCAGATAGAAAGGTTATACAAATTTGCAGATTCAGTGCTAGAAAAATACTGGTTTACCAGTTCAGAGACTAAAAGAAGCACAGAATTTCTTGTGGGGTAGGAGTCATTAGGCCAAGAATGGCACACTGGTGGCCTGAAGGCCAATAGCAGCATTCTGGTCTGGACTCATTGGTCCAGTGATGACACAAGACTTTTAGGCCATCTGGGCTGTGGTCCTACCTTTCTTTTGCATCCATTAGAGTCCTGTACCCAGTGGCCTTTGTTGTAGCTTATGCTAGTTCTTTTTTTGAAATGCCTATGATATGCCAGGCAATATTTTCAGGATTTTTCATATGTAATTCACTTAACCCTCGCAAAACCCCTTTCAAGTTGAGGTTATTATTTCTCTACTTTATCCAGGAGGAAACTAAAGCCCAGCAGGTTAAGTATTTGCTCTGTGTTAAGAGCTGAGTGAGCTTTTACTCAGCTGAGGGTGGATAAGGTGAGATTCCACCCTGAGCCCTGGCAGCCTGGCACCTTGCTCAGCCACTGTTGAGTGACCATCTGGTCTCAGTTTGAACACTCTGGTGTGAAGAACTCATGATCTCCTGCAGCTGACCAAGAGGAAAAGCTATGAGGAGGTGGTTAGAGAAATAATAAGGCAAGAGGGCCGTGGAAGATGGAAGGTAAATACCAATCTGATGTTAACTTTGCCAGTTCAAAACCTACCAGGCCAAACTCCTTAGTATGGTTTGCATACTCTTTCATAATTGGGCACCTACTTGCTTCTTTCAGCCTCATTTCTGCCAGGTTTAACATGGCCCCACACTCCAACCAGTGGAAGTTCTAGTGGTTTCCCAAGTACATCTTACCTCTCCATGCTTACCTGCATTTACACAGTTCCTCTTGCTGTTGGGAACCCTCTTCCTTCTCCATACACCAGACAACCTTTACTCAGCCTCTTCAGATTAATCTTAATATCATCTCTGAGAGGCCCTCCCATCCCTACTGCCACCTCCAACCTACTCATTGTCCCTGCAGAATGCTCCTCTCACTCTGTGCTTATCCTCTGTCCCTAGGTCCCTGGATCTTGCTGTTAGTTACAATGTCTTTCTCTCTACCTCAGAATCTGATTTGTCTCTGAGTCCTTAACACAAGGCCTGCCTTGATCATTGTGGGCATTCCACTGTTTTTTGTTTTGGGTTTTTTAAAATTCCTGTTTCTGGTCAAAGACAGAGAAAGATGGGGAAAGTATAGGGCCTGGGTGTTTAAATAAAATCAGCTAACTTCATCAAGAGATGAGGCCTGGATGCAAGCAGACCAATGGGAGGGGGAGGAAGAGTCAGAGGAGCCCAGCCATTTGGAAGTACCATCAAGACTCACATGGGGAGGGACAAAGGAGAGAAAGGTTTATACTCCTTGCCTTACCCTAAAATTTCTGTGTAACCTCTTGGCAAGTCACTTCCTCTCTGGTTGCAGTTTTTCTATCCATATAATTAAGTTCTTGGATTTGATGATTTCTAACACTCTCCTAGCCTTTCAATTTGATGCTGCATGCTGCCCCCTGACCAAATGCATTTTCCCAAATCAGGGCATGCTGCATTAGTGAACTTGTAAAGGTTCACTAATATCAACCAGTTTCAAACTCTCAGCTGTCCCTTCCTCATTCCATGATCAAGTCTTAATGGACTTTTCTAACTACAACTCAACATCCAATACCTCCTCTTCCGCTCTCCCCTACACACACACACACACACACACACACACACACACATACACACTCCTTCATTCACTTCCTGCCTCTGGGCTTTTTTTCATTTAGTTTCCTCCTCCTAAACCCATGACTCTCAAGAGCCCATCTCCACAAATGCAGACTCTCCCTGTCCTGCCAGCCCTTCTCAAGGAATCGCTTCCCTGTGGCCCATTCCTTCCACACGCCTTCCAGTGACATGAAATTAATTTCTCTGTTTTCTAGGAAAGGTATCCATTTGATTATCCTGTTGCAAGTTAATTTTTCACAGATGTGTTTGATCGCTTCCTCTCATACATCCTTTACTGTAGTCTTCATGTCTTGTTCATTTCTCTTCCCCAGCAGCCAAGGCAGTGCCTGGCACATATAACCAAATGTTATCCAGTAATCGAGTGAGGAAGTGAATCCTTAGTATTGACTAGAAAAGCAACACAATGGATGCCCTCCCTCTGGAAGGTCTGCTAGTTCTTGGTGTTCTGGGTATCTGGAATAGACTTTAGGAAACGCTTTGCCACATTCATGGCTCCCATTCCTTGGGCATCACAGCAGACGTTAGATCAGTTTTAGATAAATAGAAAGAAGTCCATGATACACACACACACACCCCTATATCTATATAAATCTCTCAATATATATGTATATATTCCATATATATACACATAAATATATATTCTATATATATCGTATATATACATATAAATATATATCTTCTATATATACATATATGTTCTCTATATACATATATGTTCTCTATATATATTGTCTCTCTGTATATGTTCATATATATCTTATACACACACACACACACACACACACACGTATATAGTTTAAACATGACTCTGGGCAGATTCCAGGGGGGACAAGGGAAAGAGAGAGAACTAATATTTGTCATCTGCTACAATGTGGGCTGTGTGTGCTGCTTTAGGTCTTCTAACATTTAGCATACACACATTTTATAAATTATCTGAGGATATAGTTCTGCTATAAGAATAGACATGGAATTAAAGCAATGGTTATTTTGCAAAGATGAAACAAATTCTTAAAAAATAGCTAAGGTCACACTTTTTCCAGGAAGAATTAAGCACAAGTGACAGTTTTAATATTTGATGCATTCTATTTTATAATTGAACATATTTCTCTTCCCAAGATTATAATACTAGTGTATTATTCAAAGGCCCCTGGGTGACAGTGACTCTAACCTGGCTGGATAACGATCAGCCTTTTGGAGAGAGATGAAAACTTAACATGGTGGACAGTAGTGGTAGGCTTTTAGCAAATGCAGCATTAAAGATAACAAAGCAGTTTGCAAAAGGTTTCTTTACTGTCTGTTCTTCACACCTCATTGTACAATGGGGAAAAAATGATCTCAATGTAAAAGAAGAACATATCATCAGACTTCCTAAATGAATGTTTTCTCCTTTTATTGATTATTAGGTCTTTTCCTGAGGGAAAAATGGAGTCACAACCTACTTTCTTCATTGGCTTAGAGGAGTCAAGCCAATGTGGACAAATGAAGACTTGTATCTGCCCTATGGGTTTCTGCACACTTTTACCCAGTTTTTAGCAAGTGGCTATACTGTTATCACTGCATTTTGCAAAATCACAAGATCAGATCATCTGAGTGTATTTTGGTCTGTTCCAACTCAATGCCCAATACCAGTCTGCTGGCTGTTTTGACCTCAGGTAAGCATAGAATCCAGAAGAGTTGTGGCCATTCCCAGAGGCCTAGGAACCTTCAGAAGTCAGATAGTGCAGTTTGACAGTGGGGTCCAGTGTGTAGTAGTGGAGATGTTGGTAGAAAGAGCTTTAATCTCTCTTGGGTTCACTACCAATGAAAAGTTTCAAAGAGGCTCAAATACAAAGGCAGACAATTTTATGGCACTTTTTTTGCTCTAAAAGCAGGTTATTGTGCCTCTACTAGCATTATCAGACCCTGAAATACAGTATTGAGAAAAATAGACCCAATTCCTACCCTACATCTTAACACAAAGATAATACATAATACCAACTTCAGTGGGAGGGGTCTGTTGAGATAGCTTGGCTGAGACCTCCCAGCGGACCCCTGCATGAACTAGACCGACTGTTTCAGCTGCAAGTCTCCTTTGATGGAAATGGAATGGGCAATGATAAATCTGGAGACACACCTAGGGCCTGTTGTGAGAACACGAACATGGAACACACATTTTTGTCTTCACACAACGGCAGCCGAAGGTAAAGAGTGATGTCCAAGGGTTTGATGTCTGTGGCCAGGATCTCACCTGGTGTCCTCCCTGGCTCCTTTAGAAAGTTGCACAGAGTTGTGTTGCTGTTGAAGAAGGTCTGCTAGTTCTTGGTGATCTGGGTATTGGGCATAAGCTTTAGGATGCGCTTTGCCTCATTCATGGCTGCAATCCACTGTCTCACACACTTCTTGGGCATCACAGAAGACGTTAGGTCCGTTTTAGATAAATAGAATGAAATTCATGAGATATGTATATCTGTTTCTATATAGCTATATAATTCTTCTCTCTATATATGTATACATCCTATATATACACAGAAATATGTATTCTCTCTATATGTCTCACATATATACAGTTTAATTGAGGTATAATTTACATACACCATAAAATTCATTCATTTTAAGCATACAAGTGGGTTTTAGTAAATTTAGTAAATTTATGGACTTGGATAACCATCACTGCATTCTAATACTAGAACAGTTCCATCAGCCCAGAAAGAAACCTTGCACCTATTCATAGTCATTGCTCATTCTTACCTGTAGACCCAAACAACTACTAATCTACTTTTTTTGTCTTTAAAAGATTTGCCTATTCAGGACATTTCAAATAAATGGAATCATATAATATGTGGATTTTTGTGTTGGGTTTCTTTCACTTAGCATGTTTTCAAGATTCAACTATGTTAAAGCATAATGTATTAATATATTTTCTTTTTTATGGCCAAATAACATTCCATTGCATGTATATACCATATCCTGTTTACCCATTCCTCAGTCGCTGAACATTTGGATTATTTCCACATTGGCGCTATTATGAATGATGTTGCTATGAACATGTACAAGTTTCTGTGAGGACATATATTTTCATTTTTCTTTGTTACATGATATTTTAAAGTGGAAGAAAAAGTATAGATGTATAAAAAAGGATCTGAAAACTTGTGCTTCAATGTTTTAAAAGTGGTTGTTTTAAGTGGTAGGATTATTTCTTCTATTTGCTTATCCAAATTTTCTAATTTTCTTACAAAAAATGTGTATCACTTTTAAGTTTTCCTTACATGTCTGTAATAAGACAAAGACAATAAAGTTTTTTTAAGACAAAAAAAAACCTTAGATATATTTGGGAAGATGCAATCCCTTGTTTGACCATTGAATCTTCTTAGCAATCCAAGCTAAATCATTTTAGATGGAATATTACTTTCAAATATTTAATGAGATCTTTACCCGTATTTCTAAACATTGGCCCTTCACTCATCCAAACAACAAAGACATTTTATGTTAGTGCATTCCCAAAGAAGGGATGGTATAGACTTCAAATTGAATGAGACTAGGTTTCTTCTACTTCGAAGAACAAACTTAATTTTAATTGTGTACTCCCAAATATAATTTTCAAATTTGTATTTCTTGCTTTTGAGTTTGTGGACTAAAATTAGATTCCGTACAGGTAATCCAGTTTTTATTTGTGAATCATCAAAATCAGCATGGCTCAAAATTGAACTCACCTCAGTCCTGCCTTCTCCACACCTGTTGGCAGTCACAGTAGACCAACCTCACAGTCACCAACCACAGTCAACCTGTGGTCATTCTTGGCTTCCCTCTCTGTAACATTTCTCTCCAATCCGTTGTCAAGTCGTGTTGATTCTGCCCTAAAATTCAACATATGAACAGAGAGAGAAGGGAAGTAACAATTTAAATGCATGAGTGGTCCTTCCATTTGGACCTTATAAAGTCTCAGTCAGGCACATGGTATTACTTCATTTTTTAGAAAACACTATACCTCCTTAATATCTTACTTTTCCATCCTGATCCCCTCTAGTTCCAGATCACCCAGGTGACTGCCACTTGTAAATTGAGGCACTGAGAGGGCTGTAGCTACAAGATCTAGAGTTGATTACAAGATTACTCTTTGCCTATGACACATGGCATAAAAGACTGGCAGGGAAAGAACTGGAACACTTCAGGATTTCCTGAGCAGATATGTAAGCAGTTTGAATAGTTTTGGTGGCATTTGTAAATTCCAATCAGGACTGGTCACATTTCTTTAGATCTTTACCCGTATTTTACTCTTTACTCCATCTCTGATGGAGATGAGGTTGACATGAAGCACTCAACCATATAACTGAGTACAGGGAGGATGCTCAGGCTGGAATTCAAGAGACTCGGGTTCTAGTCCCAAACTCTGCTGATAAAGGTATGATGCTGAACAATCATTTTCTCTCCCTCAGCCTTATTCATTCATTCATTCATCCATCTATAGGATGAAGATCCTAATCTGTCACACCTTTCTTTGTATTTTTATGTCATGGATCAGATAAAACAAGGAACGTGAAAGTACATTACAAACAGTAAACACTATGCAAGTGTATGGAACTATCAAATACTGACTATCATTAGCAGAGAGGTTAACAATGTAATAATAATAGAAATCAAGTGCACAATAAATGTGATGTGCTTGAATCATCCAGAAACCATCCCCTCAACCCCCATCCATGGAAAATTTTCTTCCATGAAACTGGTCCCTGGTGCCAAAAAGGTTGGGGACCACTGCTATAGGGTATCCAAAAATCCAGCATGGGAGTTCATGATTCTTAACATTGGGTTTCCTATCTCTACTCAAATTTTCACCATTGCTCTCAAAGTTAACCCCCAGTTCTCTTGTGGTCTGTTTGATCCTTAATTTCTTAACTTATGGGTAAGAATGGATCTATAAACCACAAAGTAACCTAAATTCAATATGTATTGAGCCAAGTAGGGTGTAGATAACTTTCCAGTAATAAGCTCTTAAGTTGAGGATTACTGAGCTGATGCCTAAAAGTTCTTAGTGCTTTTCTTTAAGGAAGAAAAGTAGTTGCTGCATTGGAATGATGGCTGAATCTCCAGTGGAATTCTTTAAAGCACAAGGCTTTGACATTTTATTCTTACCTCTTATTATATTTAAAGGATTATGTTTGATCACTGTTACAGAGGTAAAAAGAAGAAACAGACTTGATTTTGTTTCCTCCCATTTTATAATGGCTAATTATTGCAGTTCAAAAAAATTATCTAAACTGCAATGTCTCCTATTGCATGCAGCCCACTTAATCAAAAGGTTAATAGCATTGATTGGGATGAAGAATAAGAAAATTAAGAATCCTGGGTGTTTTATCTATCCCTGTCACTATATCACTTGATATGTGACTATGAGATGATAATCTTTCATATCAGTTTGCCCTTCTAGAGTGTGAGTACAGTGCAAGAAACTCTCTCTGACCCAGCACTTTCAGTCTTTAAAAAACAACTTTCAATCTTTAAAAAACAAACTAATGATCTGGTAATAGTGTGTTAATAGCTAAATAGGGTGACCATATATCCAAATTGCCCTGGACAATCCCAAATTTTGCCTATTGTCTCAGGCCAATTCTTAATAGCATTGTCTTTCACTCTCAAAAGTGGACCAATTTGGATGACTGGATTTTTGGATACCCTATAGCAGTGGTCCCCAACCTTTTTGGCACCAGGGACCAGTTTCATGGAAGAAAATTTTCCATGGATGGGGGTTGAGGGGATGGTTTCTGGATGATTCAAGCACATCACATTTATTGTGCACTTGATTTCTATTATTATTACATTGTTAACCTCTCTGCTAATGATAGTCTGTATTTGCGGCTGCTCTCCAGTGCTAGCATCACCTCCTCAGCTCCAGCTCAGATCACCAGGCATTAGATTCTCCTAAGGAGCAAGCAACCTAGATCTCTCACATGCCCAGTTTACAGTAGGGTTCAGGCTAATGTGAGGATGTAACGCCTCCACTGATCTGAGAGGAGGCAGAGCTCAGGCAGCGATCTGAGCAATCAGGAGTGGCTGTAAATACAGAGTAAGGCTTCACTCACCTGCCACTTACGTCTTGCAGTGCGGCCAGGTTCCTAACAGGCCATGGACTGGAGTTGGGGTTGGGGATCGCAGCCCTCTATTGTAGGACTTCTTCGAGTAAATTTTCTTGAATACCTGTTAATGCAGAAGGTCCTAAACATGATACCGGCACCTACTCGAAGCAGTTACAGATCCTACTCTAATAGAACAAAGAGCCTAATAAGCTGTATATGACACTTTACACAAAGTACATAGTTATTTTATTTTAAAGAGCTATGGGTGTTCAGAGTGGGGAAGAATTACTTTTAATTATTCTTTTTGTTTTTGACAAAGTCTCACTGTGTTACCCAGGCTAGAGTGCCGTGGCGTCAGCCTAGCTCACAGCAACCTCAAGCTCCTGGGCTCAAGCAATCCTCTGTCTCAGCCTCCCAAGTAGCTGGGACTACAGCCATGCACCACCATGCCCAGCTAATTTTGTGTGTATATATATATTTTTTAGTTGGCCAATTAATTTCTTTCTATTTTCAGTAGAGATGGGGTCTCGCTCTTGCTCAGGCTGGTTTTGAACTCCTGACCTTGAACCATCTGCCCACCTTGGTCTTCCAGAGTGCTAGGATTACAGGCTTGAGCCACCGTGCCCAGCTCTATTCTTTTATTCTTTCACAAATATTTGCAAGTACATGCTATAAAGCAGGTACTTGACTAAATACTGGGAATGTAACAGGGAATAAGACATGGCCAAGGAATTACTATAGAGTGATATGTGTTAAGATAAGATGAGTCAGAGTATTATGGGAGCCCAGTGGAGGTGCCCCTGAGTCTTTGGGAGTGTGATGGAGAGATTTGCAGAAATAAATAATAGGTAAAATGAGACTTTAAAGAAGAGTAGGTGTTGTTAGGTGAAGAAATTTAGGGCAATGAGGAGTGCTCCAGGCAAAAAATATAGCACATGCGAAGACAAAATTGTAAGATTGTGGTGAAAGAAGGGAATTAAAAATAGTTCATTATGGCTTGAGCATATCATGGGGAGAATAAGAAAAGATGAGCTTGTAAGGAGGCAACAGAACTGACAAAATTTGAATCAAGGAGGAGAGGATTATTCAGAGAAAGGAACAGAGTGTGGCAGAGTGGCAGGCAATGTATCCTGGACATTAACTGTATCCAAATTCACAGAAAATTCTTAAGCAAGGCATGGACTTCCCAGAGCTGTGCCCAGGATGGTTGTTCTACGCAGTGCAACTGGCATCGTATGTGTTCGGTTTCCTGCCTCTTGTCCCTCCTCGCCTGCCCCATCACCTGTGGGTCAACCTTCATGCATATGTATGTAGGTATATACATGTAGTCCACTGAATCTAATCTTTTAATTTGCTAACTGAAGAAATTCTGAGCCTTGGGAAAAGTCTGTACCTGGCAGAGTATTAGGTAACTAACTATTCCTTTCCCCATTTGACCTTTATTTTTACTTTTCAGAGCCAGAAAAATTTTAGCCTCAACCAACAGATCTGCACAAGATGAAAGCCTGAAGACACCAAGAATCGGACCAAAAATGGAGTATGACATACAGCTGTCTTCTGAGAACAGGTTTGACAAGGACCCAAATGTACAGAGTGGAATCCAAGGTCCACTACAGAGTAGCAGATTATCACTCATTTGAGGAAAAGTAAGCAGAAAATAAGAGCATTATGGGGTTAAACAATATTGATTATATCAGGTAGGAATCTCAGTTTTAAGGAGTAAATTGTAGTCTGATAACATAAATAGAAAATAATGTATTAAAAAGATGTTGAGTAGCTTCTAGAGTCTACGTTGAGACTAAAGAACGTGTTCAGAGACTCTATCACAGGAATGAAGCTATTTAACTGGTCCAGTGGTGACTCTCTTAATGCAACTGCTGGTTATGGACGTCACTCGTACCACCAATATCCCCAACACTGGGTGCTGCCTCTAAAGCTGTCGTCATGCTGCCTCTGCAAGCTGCAGGTGTCCAGTTCTGCTCTGCTTCCTTGAACCACCTACATTGCAAGGAAAACGGGGAAATTGAGGTTTTGATGCTTTCAATTTCTATGTAGAAGATAAACTTTGCTTCATAAGATGGGAGATTATCCAAACATAGGAAGACATGAGGTGGGGGAATGAATTCAGATGCTGAGATTAAAACACAATGAGAACTGTCCATCACACTTACAGAACAAGGGAAAAGAAAACATTACCCTGTTGAAACAAAAGGAGACCTTCTAGAAAGGATTTGCTAGAGGAACCAGAAGAAAATGATAAATAAATTGATGGTATTATGTAAAAGCTGAAAGATATTGCTTTTGAAAATAAATAAATAAATAATAGGCAAAGTCCAACATAAAAAGACAACTGACAACATTTTAGATAACTAAAATGGGAAATGAATAAAATGGGAAAGTATTTTAGGAAATTAAGATTGCAATAGCAGAATTAACATCCACTTTGAGGGGGCAAGAACCAAAAGCAGGAATGACCTGGAAAAATCTAGCCTATAATATAGCAGATCAAATTGAGAATTTCTTCTAGATTATAGAGAAAAACCAAAAGAGATTAAATCAATGAAAAGAGAAAATGATCTATGTAAGACAGGATCAGAATCCAGCCAAGAATTTATGAAGGCCCGTAGAAGAAAGCAGGATAATTGGTCAAAAATAATGGTTGAAGGCCTAATTAGAGAAACTTTCCTGAGTTGCAGCTTTACCTGAGCATGCAAGACAGAAGGCCCACTGCATTCAAGACAAAATCAAAGACAAGTTATTCACACTTGGACCCATCAGGGTGAAATGTTTGAAGCACAGGAGGAAAGCAACAACAACAACAGCAGCAGATCTCTAAGCATCCAGATGCAAAAACTGTTTACCTAAAAAGTAATAAAAATTACATTGGCCTCAGCTTTCTCAGCAATGATAAAGTACCATAAGTGAATAAAGAGATGTCTCTATGGGTTTGTGGGGAAAAGGCTATGAACAAATTAATTTGTTTTGCTCATGTGAAAGCAACAAAAAGATCAAGTATGAAGAAGAAAGTACCCTAAGACCTTGCTAAACTTAGAGTGTGGTCCTGGACTAGCAGCAGCAGCATCACCTAGGAACTTGTCAGAAGGGAGAATCCCCAGCCCACCCTCGATCTATGAAATCAGAACCTGCATTTTAACCAGATCTCCAGGGAATTCCCATGCATGTTACAGTCTGAGATACACTGGTTTAAGACATACTCTATGGACCAAGAACGGAACCAAATTAAGAGCTCGAAAATGGGGAAGTAAGTGATGATATGTGTGGTAGAAAACTGCTCTGCGAACTGTCCACAGAGAGCCATCACCTTGTCAGGAGTCCTTAAGGAACATACTCACCAATGCAGATCACCATTATTGAACAAATCTACGCCTCTGCAAGAACAGGAAGAGATTGCTGCTCTCTCACTCACAGCAACATCTGGAAAAATGTTTCCCTTTCATTCCTTCATTGAACTTTTTAATCTCTCATGAGTCTAATCCTATAATTAGACATAAATTTCTCTTGAAGGGCTTATCTCTCATGTAAGGTTTAACACAGGTTTAGAAACTCAAGTAGATTGGAACAATGTTAAAAAAATCAAAATATCTAAAAGGATCCTTATTAGGTTTACATTAATTGCTTGTTCTACTATACAGATATGTCCAATGTATCATTTTTAAGTAAATAACCTTATTTTAGTAAAAAAAAAATCAAAATATCTATGTCTATGAAAAAACACTGGAAAGATAGAGCAAATTATTAAGTGATAAAAATTATTTCTTTTGAAATCTCTATATTTTCAATTTTCTTGAATGAATTGATTATTATTATAGAGTATAAGATAAACTTAAATTTTTAAATATTTTCTACCAGAGAGAATACCTCAGCGAGAAAGCAAATTATAACCTGTATGTGATATTGTCCTTAAGGCTTTCTTTCTAGCATCTCTCTCTAACCATTCTTCCTGCACTCTGTGTTCTGATAAACTACTCATGCTTTCCACCTCCGTGTGCTTGCTTGCTAGAAAATCCACCTTTCCTGGCTATCCAAATGTTTGTGGGTACAAATTACTACAGTCTTTTAAAGACAGTCCAGGTAATGCCTTCTCCATGAAGACTTCCCTGATAGTAGAACCACTGCTATTCCAACCTCCTCCAGTGTTCTGTATGTCTTTTCAGGTATTTAACACTTTATATCACATAGTAGCAGTAGTAGTAATCATAATGGTAGTAGTAGTAATACTCTTATGTCTTTGATGCACTGCGAACTCTTCATGGCCTTTTGTGTTTGGAAATATTTTGATTATATTAATCATCAATAGGTGATAGTTAAGAGAGTGACTAATAATTTGGCCTAGGTTTAAGGCAGGCCAAAAGAGAATGGAACATCATGGCCATTCTTTTCTCTTTTACCAGCTCTGTGGCATTGCTTTTATATTTGGTAATACAGCTAGCAAGCTTAAGTATCAATAACTTTGTACGCTTTGTCAATAGAAATATCAAGAAAATACTTAAGTGTTTCTTTTTAAAATCCAAAACACAACAGAACATGCTGTGTCTCTATTTTAAACCGACTTACTATCCTACCTCAGGCAGACTTACTATTCTTCCTCAGCTCCAGAAGACTGTTTGCTCTATAAATTAAAAGAAATGAATTTGGATTAAGAGCTCTCTAAGGCCCCTTCCAATCTAGACTTCTATAATTCTAAAAAAAAAGATAAAACCAAGTTTGGCTTTGGCTTTTGGGGCTTCAGTTGTTATGTTTTAGATACTATGCCAAAATCCGTATGATTAATAATGCTTAGTTATTTACAGAGTGCTCAATCTGATTCTCTTCGACTTGCATCATCCAGTCCCCTACAGTGTTATTTTTCTTTCTAGAACAACTTAAAGCCAAAGGCTCCCTCTCTGAACTGTTTACCTTCTCAAGTGGAGGCACGCCTTTGCAGCCACAGCTGTCCCCAATTAACCTTTCTCCCAAGCGTGCATGGTCCACATGACTCAGCAATCCCAGCTTCTAAGGAAGCCTGTCCCACGACAGTCAGCATATACATTTCCCCACACACTAGCTCTAAGCAAAGAAAATGCCACCCTCGTCACAGTGTGTATCTCCAGCTCCAATTAAATGACCAACTTTTGATACATTCAGTGGAAAATTTATTGATAATCTATTAGGTACATAATTAAACCTTGTAAACTGTGAGACGATACCTAACATATACCACACAAACGACTAGCATTTATTCCAATTTTACCATTTATCAATAATTTCCATGTACATGTGGAATTCATATCAATGACTGTCGAGCTGACTTTCAATGTGTTGCAGTTAAGAAGTATCAAGGAGGCTTGCTCCTTGTACTGTGTTGTGATCACAGCACGGAGTCCAATAACAAACAGTACTGCAGACACAGGCAGAGGCACCTATGTTATTCATTCAGCACAGGTGATCACTCTGCATATCCACACATTGTCTCAACTGCTAGAATACAAAATCACATTTTTCTTGCTCCATGAAGTCTTTCTAGATCCTCACCTCTCCTGCCAGAAATATCTTTACCCTCTGAATGTTCACAGCACTTTTCTGTACCTCATTAATTATTTTTTCATTTTATTATATTTTAATATGTTTTTACATGTTTCTTTCTTTCATGTTTATATCCTTGACTATTCTCCCTAGACAATTGAATCAGAATCTAGGGCATTTGTGATTATAAAAAGCCTCACAGTTCATATGTGGAGCCAGGGACATCTGTGCTAAGGACAAGAGCCACATGCATGAGTCACAGATCCTTGAGAGACCATAGAACACAGTGGTTAAGAACCAAAGTAGTGGCATACTGACTACCTGGGTTCACATCCAGCTCTGCCACTTACAAGCTAGAGCTTTGGCAGGTCACTTTACCCTGTGAACTCAATGTGTAATGGGATACAATAGTCCCTGACTCACAGCTTATTGTAAGCTTAACTACATGAACATGTACAAGCACTAGGAGTGCCTGGATTAGTACGTGCGTGTGTCAGCTGTTATTGTCCCTGTGGAGACCTGCAGGAGAGCTGTTTGATTGAGTATATAAAATATATATAATAATTATGTTGATGTGAAGCATAACCACATGCATATACTTGCATCACAAACTGCTCAGGGATTAGTTAACTGACAGGTTAATAAATCAGAGCTGTCTGTGGTCTCACAAAGTACCATACTAGTCCATGCATTTGTTTTTTTTATACTTTTTTCTGTTTTGAGACAGAGTCTCACTCTGTTGCCTGGGCTAGAGTGCTATGGCGTCAGCTAGCTCACAGCAACTCGAACTCCTGGGCTCAAGTGATCTTCTGCTCAGCCTCAGAGTACTGGGACTATAGGCATGCGCACCATGCCTAATTTTTCTATATATTTTAGTTGGCCGATTAATTCTTTCTATTTTAATAGAGTGGGGTCTCGTCTTTGCTCAGGCTGATTTCAAATCCTGACCTTGAGCAATCTGCCTGCCTCAACCTCCCAGAGTGCTAGGATTACAGGTGTGAGCAGCGGTGTGCCCAGCCTATTTTTATACTTTTTAAAATATATACAAAAAATAATATAATATTAAGTAATAGAATATACTTCTCCCTCTGTGGCATGTCACAGGACGTCGGCAACTCGAGACTGTGTAATGTTAACAAGCGCAAGCGATTGTATCTCTAAAGATTATTGGCCTGACCAGGTCCCAGAAGAAGAACTTTCCTGGGTCATTTCTCAGTGGCACATGACAAACTGGAATCCTAAAAGAAGAGTCAGTTGAGTGAGGCCAAGTGAGTGCATAGCTGGATACGAGGTGGCTGTGGGCAGGGACTAGCTTATACTAGCAGAAATGAATGAAAGACTCAGATTTATTTTCACTTTCTTTAAATTGTATATATTTTGGCTACCAAAACTGCATCTTTCAAATGCTGTACAGGGTTTAAATCAGGGATAAGAAAAATCAAATGTAATATCTTTAAGCAAAACTGCACTGCTTAGCAGTAGCATATTTGCAAAAATGCCACAATAATCTCACTCATTTCTGTAAGCACACACCCTTGCCATGTGTCTTTACTACTCCTCACGTAAAGAGGTGGAATCTACTTATCTGCTTTTGAATCTGGGCCAGGCTTGTGACCTGCTTTCACCAATAGAAGATAGCGAGTGACATTTTGCAACTTCTAAGTGTTAGCCTCAGAAGCCTTGCAGTACTGCTCTTAACCTCTGTTGCTGTGCACACATCTCAACTTCCATGTGAAAAGGCTGAGCTGCCTGCTAAATCTGGAGACATGTAGCAGCATCAGCTCGCAAGCTGACCTGCCAATGACTGTAGATACATGACTGCCCAGGGTGGGTTCATCAGATGACCACCCAGCTGACCCAGTCAAAATTATGACCAAAGAATGTGTGAGCTAATCAATAGCTATTTTAGTTCCCTGAGTTTGTATTGTTTGTTACATACCAAAGACTGACACACTAGTACATGCCATTGAAAAAAAAAATCTGCCCGTGGTTCAGTGAAGGTATTTGGACTGTTAAAGGCTCTTGCC